TGATGCCTGCCATCTTTCTGCAGGTGTCCAGGGCCAATGCATGTATATATCTGTCTGTGCTCTGTGCATTTAAAAAAATACCATTTTTTAACCACCTACAAAACTAGCTTTGCCCACTTGTGGCACGTGCCTCCACCAGGAATGTGCAGCTGTGGGATCACATTTCCTGTTGTAATGAACGCACCATCGCAGCACTTTCTCAGGGCTTCACATTATTGAATCATGACAAGCAGGCGAGAGGGGTACTTTTATTGTCCCCGTTACTTGTGGGCCACTTGAGGTACAGGACGGCTCACTGATCATCCTCAAATGAGGTAACTAATGGAGGGCAGGGCCCAAACTGAATCTCTCCTAGCCACTGTATATATTGCCCCCTTGCTGGGGTTCTTCTCGTGTTTCCTGAGACCCTACTCTGTGCCTGGCCCATATTAGGGTGTGGATACAGAGGGAAAGGCACAGTCTCTGTCCTCCCAGAACACAGCTTGTTTCTGAAGGTGGGAGTCAGGTTAGGCTGTCCCTAGGTGGCAGGTACAGTAAATGGTGCAGAGAGAACACACACTGCGAATCATCCTGAGAGACTGCAGGCCTTTTCTGGCCAGCTGCTCTGGTCCCAAAGATACCGGTCCCCTGTATTCCTAGGGCAGCACCATTGCTGGGATTGTGCTTGTCCACTTCTGGACCAAGTCTTGCTGCCCCTGTGCCCTGCTTGTGGCACAGGGGACACCAGCAACTGGTGCTTAGCAAAGTGGGTGTGGTTTAGAGCAGAGCTTGGGGACGGAAGGTAGGGAGCCCAAGTGAGGCAGAGAACAGGATGGGCCCAGCCAGAGGTGGGGCCAGAAGGGAAGAGGGTCCTGTGAGACACCCTGACAACCCCTCTGTGACCCCAGGGGAAAAGATCCTGGCCACTCACTGTCCTTGGGGCCTGATTTTAAAAAAACCTACAGAAAATTGGAATTGATGCTCTTTATCTCAATCTGATAAAAGCTACAACAGTCAACATCATATTAAATGGACAAAAACTGAAAGTTTTCACTCTAAAAACTGGAACAAGAAAGGGATGTTCACTGTCTCCCCTCTTACTCAGTATAGTTCTGAAAATATTAGCCAGAGCAATTAAACAAGAAAAATGAATAAGGATAGGAAAGGAAGAATTTAAATTATGATTATTTGCTTTGCAGATGACATGATACTCTACATAGAAGTCTCCCAAAACCCCACCAAAAGACTTCTAGATTTAATAGTCAAACTCAGTAGCGTAGCTGGATACAAAGTCACCACTCAAAAATCAATAGTGTTTCTGTACACAAATAAAAAACTCACTGAGAGAGAAATTAGGGAAACAACACTTTTCACAATGGCATCCCCAAAAATGAAATGCCTAGGAATCAGTCTAACAAAGAAAGTAAAAGACCTCTCTACATTAAAAACTGCAATACTCTAAAAAAGGAAATTGAAGAGGAAATCAGAAAATGGAAGGATATTTCTTATCTTTGGGTAGAAAGAAGCAATATAGTGAAAATGGTCATACGTCTAGAATTGTTATATGGATTTAATGCAATCCTGATCAAAATTCCAATAGCATATCTCATAGAATTACAGAAAACAAACCTAAAATTCATTTGGAACCAGAATTGCTCTTGAATAGCAAAGGCAATTCTGGGCAACAGAAGCAAAGCAGAGGCATCATAATCCCTGAGTTGACTTGAAATTATACCACAAAGCTAAATGGGATGGGGCAGGTGGGTCAGCTTAGCAGCATAAGTGCCTGCCTGGCAAGCACAAGGTTGTGAGTTCAATTCCTGATATTAAAAAAAAAAAAAAAGAAAGAAAAAGCTAAATGAGAAAAACAGTAGAAAAAAGAAGAGAAAAAATTCAGGCCCAAGGATCAATGGAACAGACACACGCAACTTTGACAAAGGAGCCAAACACCTTCGGTAGAAAAAGAATAACCTCTTTAATAAGTGGTGCTGGAAAAACTGGCTTTCCACATGCTGAAGATTAAAAATAGACCCATATCTCCTGCCATGCACTAAGCTAAAATTCAAATATCTAAATATTAAAACAGAAACACAGATCTGCTAGAAGAGAGAATAGGCAGAACTCTTGAAAACATTGGTATAGGCGAAGACTGTATAAGCAAAACCCCACCTGCACAGGAAATAGCACAAGAAATCAACAACTGAGATCTCATCTTACTAAAAAGCTTTGCACAGCAAGAGAAACCACCAACAGAGTGAAGAGACAATGTGGGAAAAAATTTTGCCAGCTGTCCTTCACACAAAGGACTACTAGCTAGAATGTATAAAGAACTTGAAAAAATCAGACACCCCAAATTTAAAGACCCAAACCAAAAATGAGCATCTGAAATGAACAGACACATCTCAGAAGCAGAAGTGGAAATGGCAAATAAATACATGGAAAAATGTTCAACATCACCAGTCATTCCAGAGACGCAAATTTAAAACACACTGTGATTCCATTTCACACCAGAAAGAATCGCTATTGTCAAGAAATCAACTAGTAACTAATGTTGGTGGGGCTGTGGGGAAAAAGGAACCCTTCTCCACTGTTGGTGGGAATGCAAACTGGTGCAACCACTGCTGAAATCAATGTGGAGATCCCTCAAAAAACTAGGACTGGAGGTCCTATTTGACCCAGCTAGTCTATTTCTTAGTATCTTCCTGAAAGAATTAAAAGCATCATACCACAGCAATATATGTGCACCCACGTTTACAGCAGCACAATTTGTAATAGCTAAATCTTGGAAACAGCCCAAATGTCCACCAACTGATGAATGGATATAAGATGTGGTTCTTTTATACGATAGTGTACACTCAGCCATAAAGAAAGATAATTTTGAGGCATTTCTATATAAATGCATGTACCTTGAGAACATGCCTTAAGAGAAATAAATAGGACACATGTGCAAATATGGCATCATTTGTCTGGTGTGAGAAATCAAAAGTGTAAATAAGGACCAAAATGTATAACTGGTATTGTGAAATAGGAAAAAATGTTCAAATGGGAAGGAGCACTAGGGAGGGGAAGAGGGGGAGGAAGGAAAAAGAAAAAAGTGAGCAAAGTAGGAAAAAATGGGGGAAAAAGCTTTTGTAAATATGAAAGGAAAGAGGGGTTAAAGGGAGGGTAGGAAATAGGGAAAAGGAAATAATCAAGATACATCAGGTACAAAATCCCTATGGTGGATGTGATTGTTATATATACCTAAAATGTACTAATAAGCTTAATTTTAAAAATATGTGTGCATTTTATTTAAAATGCTATGAAGCCTAGTGTAATTGATTTTACAGCTAAATGCTAAACACTTTAAAAAGTTATTATACTACTTTTGTTTGCAAATAATTTTAAAATAACTTAAAATCTATTTTAATAAGTTTACGTGCAGATCATACCTGAAAGGATTCACAAGGAAGTATACCAGCACTTGCTCCTAAGGACAGCTAGGTGCTCAGGAGAAGAAAGTAGGAGGGAGCTAATCCTGTTAGTACTCCTTTCTGCTTTAGGACTAGAGTCCTAAATGTAACGCATATGCTGCAGTATCAGGTTCAACTGGCTTAGTGTTTCCACAAGATACGTGCAGTATGTAAGCTCACCAAATTATTTAAGGAGCTGCTTCTTGAAAACTCTCCTTATTCATTGTCACCTGATATAAATCCACATCAGAAGTAAAATGCCCAGAGACAAAGACCTGAATTGCAGCAGGGCACTTGGCTAAACACTCAGGGTAGAAAGACTTCCAGGCAAAGTATCCGGGTCCTCTTAGATGTTATCTATGGTCGCTATTGTTTCACGAACTTCCCCAAGCACAAGTAGCAGAGAATCCCTAGATATGAGCAATGAAACAAAAGGGAGGTTTTTGTTTGTTTGTTTTGTACAACTCACGACTGTGCCTTGCAAGGCAGGCGCTTATGCCGCTGAGCTAAATCCCGGGCCTCTAGAAAGGGGCTTACACTACTGAGCTATATGCCCTTCTCCCAGGAGTTCTTTTACTGGCATTTTAATTTGGCACCTGAGATGCCTAAGGAGTCTGATGCCCCAGGTTCTAGCAGTAAGCTAGATCCGTACAACACACCACCCAGCAGCCATCAACCCGCTTCCCAAGGTGTCACTTTTACCTCCAACAGAAAACAGGCAAAATTAATCAGGCGCAGTGGTGCACGCCTAAACTCCCAGCGCTCGAGCAGAGGCAGGAGGATCACTGCCAAGTCAAGGTCCTAAAAGGAACAAAAACAAATACAAACAAAGCGGGGAAAGGCCCTAACCGGAAAACCCGGCTTGGTTCTCGGCCCCGCCAGTTCCCTGCGCAGCAGCTCTGCGCACCCTGCCCCAGCCTCTCCCCGGCAAGGGAGACAAATTCACCGCCCACCTCTGCGCAGGCGAGGAGAGCGCTACACCCCTCTGCGATCCAGAGCAGCTCTGCTGAGGGCCGAAGACCTCGGCGAGGAGGCGGGAGGCGGGGGCCGGACTTGGTGTGCGAGCGATGGGGACCCAGCCTGGGGCTCACAGGCGCCATAGCGCGCGGCGGACGGATCTAGATCGCGGTGGCTGCTCTCGGCCGGCGGGGGCGGAGGCGCCTGCTGCTGCTGCTGGCCGACTTGAGGGTCTCCAAGGCCCCCATCTGCTTTGCCAGGGTCACCAGAGCGGCCTATCGCCCTGCGAGGCAAACCTTGAAGGCCGCGGGGCCGCGAGCAGGAGCGGAGCCCGTGCGCCCCACTGTCTCGGGCGCGTCCGGAGCCGGGCTTGGAAGTGGGGACCTTTTGGGGCTCGCCTGTCCACCAAGCTGGCCAGTGGCCTGAGCGAAGGGCTTACCTCCTCAGCCCCTGGGGAGAGTGCGACGCACTCCCACCCACCCCGCCTTTCCTCTCCTATTGGCGGGTAGATGAGCAAGGGGTGCTGGACAGAGGATGGCGGGGAGACCTGGGGTTAACTCCTAGCGCCTGTGCAGCAGAGTGGGATGACCTCAGTGTGCCACCTGAGTAGTGATCCACGCAGTGAGGGACCTGCTAAAGGACACTCAGGAGGGCACACCTGCCACTTATAGTCCCCTTTTCTTGGCCAAAAGTCACACCATCTTCTCAGAGCCTGTCAGTTGTCCCAAAACTGCCAGGGAAACCGCACTGTTCCTAAGGTGATTGCAGTAGCTCCCCCCTGCTTCCCACAACGAGGCAGAAAAACATTCTTTTTATAAACCTTAAGAAGCCAAGAATCTCCCTCCGGCGCAAGCCAGCAGGAGACCCAGTCAGGGGGCTCTGGTGAGCCTACTGGGGCGCAAACATCCCAACCCCAACCGCCCTCCCCATTAGCAACTGGGGACAGAGGTCTGAGCAGCTCTTGAGAGGATGCCCCTGTGCATCACAGCAAATATGGGGGGATTTCCTTCCATCTTCTGTTTGAAGGCAAATGTTGTTTCACTGTTTTGTTTCATTATGATTAATTGTATTACTCTAGTCAATATTCTTTCGAATGGTTTTATAATGTTCTGGTTTTGGTTTGATTTTGCTATGCCTGATTGACTGGACAACTATTAAGAAGATAATGAGATACACTATGAAACCTATTACTGTTATGCCAGTAACCTGCTGTGTCTCAATTGGCTTTGTTCTGCCTTGTCCTGTTGTATTTCTACCTTCAGACAAACAAACAAACAGAAGCCAAGAATACTTTTCTTTTTTGGAGACATGGTCTTGCTAAGTAGTCCAGGTGGCCTCCGCCTCCCAAGTGCTGGGATTATAGGTATCATGCCCAGCCAAGGATGCCTTTAAAAATTTTATTAGTACATTTTAGATATACCTAATAACATTCATCATAGGGAATTTGTGTTTGTACATGATATACCTTGCTTTTTTTCCCAATCCCCTTTCCTTCCTTTAACCTCTCTTCCCCTCCTTAAGAATACTTGAATTTCTATTTAGCAATTGCTGACTCAAGATTTTATGAACGTTTATAACATTAATCCCATTTACATTTATTTACTCAATACCTGAAGGCCTCAAATCTCAACTGGGAGGTCCATTTCCATATGCCCTGGCGTTGACAGGTTGGACTGAGAGCCTGTGTGTTCTGACTGTAAATCAGGGGCCTCCCTACCTCCTGGCCACATGGGTCTCTCCAACACACCGGTGGGCTCCTTCCTCAAGGAGCCTGAGCCTAGAATGCAAAGAGCACCAGCAGGGCCGAAGGTGTGATCTTTCTGTAACTCATCATGGGAGTCATACCACCACCCTCAAGAACTCCACACTCAAACCTGATCTACTATATATGTATGGTAAAAATCTGTCTCAAAAAGGCAGTAAAATTAATTTCTCATTAAGAAAACAGGGGGCAGTCTATATATTACACTCCATCTGTTATAACTTAAACATCTCAGAACATATAGGTTAATATAAAGACAGTTCATCATTCCATTTTTAATTTTTGGTTCTTGTTTAACTTTTTTTTTTTTTTTTTTGGTCTTTTTTGTTTTTATTGGTACCAGGGATCGAACTCATGACTCCCTGCTTGCAAGGCAGGTGCTTATACTGCTGAGCTAAATCCCCAGCCCCCTATTATTTAACATATTTGTAACACTCATATCTTCTAGGCTTCTCCAGCTCCTAGTCTAGCAGATACTCACCTGTGCTGTTACTAAGACAATGTTGTGTATATATTTTTGGCAACTCTGCAAATGTTTTCTGCATTATAAAACCTTCACAAATTAAAGCAATGTCAGCTTCTTCCATAAGCCTCAATGAAATACTGACCACAACCTGTCTCCCTGTAATTCTTTTAGGTCAGCCAGGATGAGGCTTTTGATTCCTGGCTACGTAAGGGCAGCCCCACTTCAGCCTGATACTGATAGTTAAAAGCCTGATAGTTAAAAGAAAAAAAATATTCAGCCTGTAGCTTCTCTGCAGCCCTTAAGAATGAGGAGGAGGAGGAGGCTGGGTAGATAGACTAAACAAAGGTAGAAAGTGAAAGAGTTGCCGGCCCAGATGAAACACTGTAACCAGAAAAGGCTGCAGCTAAACTCCTCCCCCCGCTGCCCCCTATGCACTTGATTGTAACCCTATATCCCCATCCTTAAGAATCTGTGCGCCAATGAGATACCTGTGCATCTCTAATGGCATTAGGGTGCTGCCCTAAGCTTAGGCTATTTAGATTCCCCCACGCCACGTATCCGAGGGAGTTCGCCAGAGAGAGAGAGACCGCCAGATTCCAGCGGCCAGCGCCGGCCAGCGCGCCAGTCTCCACTCCCCGTGTTCCCGGAGAGACCACCCGCCCCGGGTGCAGAGATGCTGCGCCCGGGGCTGGCGGCGGGGGGCCCCCTCCCCGCAGTCCCGGAATAAAGCCACCGCTGACCACTACTTTCATGGCCGTCCACTCCACTCCATTCCTCCCACGGACTTCTCTTCTCCTCCCCCTTCTCTCAGACCTAACAGATGGTGCCCTGTGACTCGGCGGCAGGTGAGAGACTATAATTTTCTCAGTTTTGTTTTATAGTCCCCTGTTGTTAAAATTTCTTTACTTCTACAGTCACAAATCCACTACCACTCTGATGAGTAACTCCCCTGATAACTTTTAAAACAGGCTGTTTCTTTCCCAGCGTGCGCTCTTTCCTCCCTGTGTCCCCGACCCGTGCGCCCTTCTTCCGGCTCCCGCTCGCAGCCTCGGCGCCGCCGGTCCCACAGTCATGACGGCCTTCCGCGTGGCCCATGAGGCCTGGTCACCCGGGGGGGGGGGGGGGGGGCCGCGCCCGGCGCCTCTCCCTCCCCCCCCCCAACCACGTTGTGGCTCCCTTTCTTTCGCTGGCGGGGCGGCTCTGGGCGGGGGGGCCCTTTGCAGGACTTTTGAAGCGGCTTTCTTTCCTGGCGCGGCTCCTCTCCCTCCCCGCCGCGCGCTACCTCCGCGCGCCGCCTGGGCGCCGCTGGTCCCGCGGTCATGAGACGGTCTCCCGCGTGGCCCGCGGGGCCTGGTCACCCCAGGGGGTGCCTGCGCCTGGCTCCTCTGCGCCAGGCGCCTCTCCCGCCCCCCTCCCACCACGTTTTAGCTCCCTTTATTTCGCCGGCGCAGCGGCTCGAGCCCCGGCCCTTCCCATTCATTGCCTCCGCCCGCGCCTGGCTCCTCTCCCTTTTGTTTCCCACTTTACGCCAGTCCGTCCGCCACCGCCGTTCTCCTGAGGTTAAATGAGACCAGACAATGAGACCTGAGATTCACATCAAACTGCTTTTGATCTTAAAAACAGCCTTTTTTCTTTCTTTTCGCTCTCACATTGTGTTCCAATTCTGTGGGCCTCTCTGGCTTTGGCCTCCAGCCCAGCCCATTTCCTGTTTCACCACCGGCGCAGCCGCACGGTGGCAGCGTCCCGCAGCGTCCCTGCGCCATACCCCACCCGCCGTAGCCGCCCAAAAGCCGTGGCTTTCACAGCGCGCCCAGCTCTGGCGCGGCCGTGAGCCTTTCAAAACAAAGCCCGCCTAACTTCACGCTGTGCCTCTCCCGCGGCCACAGCATACTACTCGCCCTGCCCCACACACGGGGCTCCGCGCAGCAAGCAAGCTGTGCCTCTGACTGCCTCTGCCACCGCCCCGCCCCTCCGGGGCGCGGCCACCATCTCTGCTGCCCGCCTCGGCCGTCGCCCCGCCCCTCCGGGGCACAGCCACCGCGTTGGCCACCGCGCCGCCCCTCCAGGACGCGGCCACCCCCTCTGTTGCCCGCCTCGGCCGTCGCCCCGCCCCTCCGGGGGACCGAACGCGAGCCACAGCTCCCTTTGGCGCCAGGCGTCAACTGGGATCACCACTCGGGGCCTCCAAGCCCCACCCCCTTACGCGATCGCAGCGAAACGACGTCATTTCCCTGCGCCGCTTAGTGCGTCACAGTAAGCCTCTGTTCTCTGCTTACGGTGTCCCGCATTCGCCCCGCCCACTCTACGGTTCCTTGCCTGCCCCTCCGCGGCACCGCACACACAGGCTGCCTCTGCTGCCTCATGCCACAGATCTCACTGTTTCAACCTGCCTTTAACACTACACGTTTCCAAAGTCTCACGGCCCTGCCCAAAATTTTTTTTACAGTTCTATTCCACTCGAGAGAGGCTATTTTTTTCCTTTTTTTCTTACAGTTTTTCTACCATTTGTTCACTATTGCTGGCCACCTGATAATTTTACCAACCTGCCTGCCTTATAATCTTAAATGCTGATATTAAATTCCTGCATACTTACTTAATTCTACTATAGTCCAAATCCCAAACAAAAAGACAAAACTTGACCTTCAAACCTTAGAGAGATCTTAATATGGTTTTTCATATTTTTAACACTTGTGACACTTAAAGTTCTGAGACAGGTAAACCTACACAAGGTGGAGCTGCCTGCCCCCTCCATGGACCATGCTCAAATGCAGCAGAAGATACTGGACAAAAAAATGCCCCATCCTGGCATTCTTTGAGACCTTACTCCAGGGCTACTGGACTGTCCTAGCCACCAGAGAGTGGGTAAGTCATCCTAAGTAATAGCCCTCACAGGAAATGTCGACACTGCCAGATTCGTCACCGACAGAAAATCCGCTGCTGAAGACTGAAAAAGTTCAGGGCAACAACAGCCCCCTTTAAGGTGTCCGTCTCAGACTCCAAGTCGCACTAAAGTCTCAGGTAAGACATTCTCTATATTTGTGGACATAGAGGCCATATATACAGAGTTCTTCCTGAGTATTCAGGCTGCTATATTAAGTCCTCAATCTCTATGACAGGGTATTGATGGTCAACCTATGCCATTTACATTACAAACAGGGCCTATCTTGTGCAGGTCCCAGTCCTAAATCTTAAAATGCCTTTTATACAGGCTGACTTAGACACACTGAGGCCTCAACAGCTTCCACCTGTTGTTGCTGGTAGACTCTTCCTCAGTGATATAGACCACCCCCTTCCTTTCTTATTCACCAATTTTTCAGGTACCCTGGTCAAGACTGACAGATACATTTTTATCTTCTCATTTGGTTTATACTTTTTCAGGATACATAAAAGCCTTTCTCATACTTGCTAAAGTTCTGTTACAGCAAATCATTCCAAGGACTACAACCAGGTTACAGCAACCCATGCCTAAATCAAAGTTGCTAGACTGCCATCCTGGTTTCACATCACTCAGGCTAAGAGGTGCCCTTCCAGCTCTAAATCTGATCATTCTGAGTGGTCATCTCATCTCCTGTCGCCTACCCGTCTCCGTCTCACAAAGGCCGCGCAGCCACAGTTAACAGGCTAAGTCATGTTTTGTTATCCATTTTGGTTCCTAATTTCTTACATTCTATTAATGATCATTTTTACAGCAGGACTCTTTAACAGTAGTGCCTACAGACTCCAACATCATGCATACCAGAGACAAGCCTCACCAACCTACCGTCTTAACTTTTATGCTTTCAGATGGGGGAGTAATCACCTCTCATAACTCCACTCCTCCTAACCCCACGTTTAATTTTCAGAATTCTGCCTCACCGTGGAAATGTTTCTACCTCAACATGGTCCTGATAGAATGATATGTCTAAATCAAAGGCACCTTTCCTTCTACCTCACCTGGGTCCTTAAATATAATAGTGCCATGTCTCCTAATAACATTATGTCTCTTTGTTTTTCCAGTCTGACATACGTACATTCACCAGTGAAGTTGTCCTGGCTAAAACACCTGACATCAGTGTCTACCTGGGCATCAACCTTCATCCCGTCAAACTCCCCTAGACCCCCAATACAGCGCCCTCAGCCAGCAGGAAGTAGTTACAGAGAGAGATCTTCGCCCCTTTTCCTAATAACCAGAAGATGGGATATGAAAGAGTTGCCGGCCCAGATGAAACACTGTAACCAGAAAAGGCTGCAGCTAAACTCCTCCCCCCCCTGCTCCCTATGCACTTGATTGTAACCCTATATCCCCATCCTTAAGAATCTGTGCGCCAATGAGATACCTGTGCATCTCTAATGGCATTAGGGTGCTGCCCTAAGCTTAGGCTATTTAGATTCCCCCACGCCACGTGTCCGAGGGAGTTCGCCAGAGAGAGAGAGACCGCCAGATTCCAGCGGCCAGCGCTGGCCAGCGCGCCAGTCTCCACTCCCCGTGTTCCCGGAGAGACCACCCGCGCCCGGGTGCAGAGATGCTGCGCCCGGGGCTGGCGGCGGGGGGCCCCCTCCCCACAGTCCCGGAATAAAGTCACCGCTGACCACTACTTTCACGGCCGTCCACTCCGCTCCATTCCTCCCACGGACTTCTCCTCTCCTCCCCCTTCTCTCAGACCTAACAGAAAGGAGACAAGGAAAAGCGTAACTTTAAAAATGAAAACTGCAACTTCAAGACATAAACCCGGTTTTTAAGAGTTTTTTCCCCCAAAACACAATAAGCTTTGGGTCATTCTCTTTTACATATAAATGGGTCTGTTACCTATAAATAGCTCACCTCTTTTCACCTGTAAAATTGATCTTTCCCAGGAGATGAGAAGCCGTTCTGTGACCTGGGATGGCTACCCCCTAAGAATGGGCCACCATCCTCCCTCGAGGGCTGTCACCTTTCAACTATAAATTAAATTCCTTCTCCATAGGTTCACAAGTCTACAGCTTCCCACTCTTAAATCCCTCATGAATATACCCAGCTCAAGGCCATAAGCATACCTCCCTCTTTTGTATGTACTTTAAAAACTATGCCTCGTCTAGCGTGGTACAGTATGCCTGTAATCCCAGCACTTAGGAGGCTGAGGCAGGAAGATCACCGAGATTTCAAAGCCATCCTGAACTACATGGTGAGAATGTCTTAAAAACTCAAAAACAAGCCAAAAAGTACAACTAATAAATCCCTTTATGCATCTTACCAATGCCTCCTGAAGATTCTTTTTCTGTGATGAAAGTCAGTGAACCTGTAACCTGCGCTGTGAGTTGCAGGAGTCAAGGTTCACATCTCCACTTTGGAGACTTCCTTGGACCCTGTCTGGCGACAACCACTACTGATCCTTAATGACTTCATCAAGCTCAGTTCTGGGAGCTGCCTTTCCAGAACCCCGGCTTAGGGTTGTAGGGGCATGTGGAGATAGAACAGAGTTCTTATTCCTAGCCCTTTGATTGATATCCTCTTTGAAGTCTTGTTGTGGGGCTAAGAAATTAGTTCCCATCTAGTCATCAGGAAACCATGAGAAGTGACGTTCATCCCTAAAATATTTCTGCTCTCTCTCTCTGTTTGTCTGAGACAAGGCTGACTGACTATATACAGTTCAGGCTGGTCTTGAACTCTCTTCGTAGCCCAGACTGGCCTCAAACTCACCAAGATCCTCCTGCTTCAACCTCCCAAATGCTGAGATTACAGGCATGTGGCACCATGCCCAGCTTGACTATTTCTTTTGTCTGATGTTTGGGAAAAAGGAGCAGTGGGAATGAAGAGGCAATTGCAAGATCATATTTTAATATAAGAACATACAAAATATAGCAAAGAGGAAAAGGCCAATCTCACTAGTTGAACACGGAACCAAAATTCTTACTGATTAAATTCAGAAAAATATATACATAGATGGGACACACAGTGGATGGGACACACAGGACATGGGAACCTGAACAGGAGAACAATGAGGGCAATAAAACCTCACAAAGTTTCTTCCTTTCTCCTTGGTCTACTCTTCCTTCTTTTTTTTTTTTTTTTTTTTTTTTTTGGTACTGGGGATCGAACTCAGGCTTGCTAGGCAGGCACTTATGCTACTGAGCTAAATCCCCAGCCCCTACTCTTCCCTTCTTGAGAAGCTCCAATAGTAGAAATCTCATTCACCCAAAGACCTGTTTCTAGACAAAAATTATGTGAGTTTCACAATTCTGCTTGTTGAACACCAAACTGGTTTTCCTCCACTTTGTTCTGCTCTTTCTGCTGATAAGGCAATTTCCTCTTCTTTATTTTGCAGGGTCCAAGGTTAAAATACAGTGCTGTTGTGTTTATGCCCACCACAAGGAGGACAACAACAATGAAGAAGACGGTGTAACTGCTTCCTTTATTGCATCCTGGCCAAAACACAGAAGACACAGAAATCGGGGGTGGCAGCACCGAAGACAAGAGAATCATCCCCCCTCAGCCCACCAATCCCAGTTCTCAGTCTCACCTTCCCCAGCCCAGTAAAATCTCCCTTTCCATGATTTTATCAACCCCCTGGTGGATTTCTATCCCAAGCCTTGCAGCAGGGCAGCAGCAGTCACCTTGAACAGTAAGAGCAATGTCTTTGCCGACAGAGCCCAGCTGGTTAGTGGCTGTGCAGCAGTAGATTCCAATGTGGTTCTGGGCTGCCTTATGAGGCACGTCAAGGTCAACGATAATCCCATTCCAGGTGTACACTAAAGCTGGAGCTGGGTTTCCCTCTGGGACACAAATGAGCATCTGCTCCTTCCCTTCTACCCATGTCTGGTTGCTAGGGCAACCAGATTCTTCCAATCTTGGCTTGTCTGGAAAAAAAAGGAAGGAAGGAAGGAAGGAAGGAAGGAAGAAAGAAAGAAAGAAAGAAAGAAAGAAAGAAAGAAAGAAAGAAAGAAAGACTCCCCAAAGAAGCCAGCATGTTGTATGTCCTGCTCCCTCCTAACCTTCATGCTTGGCTCCCTTTCCTTCCCCAAGCAAATGCTACTTCCTTAACAAATTTCTTTTCAAGGGAAAGACTATCAGTTTCCTGCTTACACCAGCTTCCCTTTCTTCTACTTGGCCAAGGAGTCTGAGATTAAACCTGGGGTGGTTTTGTTTGTTTTGTTTTGTTTTGTTTTGTTTTTTGTCTTTTTTGAGACAGGGTCTCTCTATGCAGTTCAGGCTGGCCTTGAGCTCACTTTGTAGCCCAGGCTGGTCTTGAACTTGCAACGATCCTCTTGCCTCAGCCTCCCAAGTGCTGGGATTACAGGCCACCTCGTCCAGCTAAACCCGGGGTATTTTTATGCATTCGCACTAAATGGTAACATGCTGCTGTCAAAAGGGACCTGGAGCCCTGCTTCCTATCTTAGCTTCTCAGCAGGTAAGGTGCTGGGAAGGGGCAAACTCAGAAATGGAGACTTTTCTCCCTTTTCATAATACAAATTTTGATAGGGAAGTTTTGGAGATTTCCCTCCTTCGTATCAGCTCCACTATCACTTTTAATGTTCTCCACAACCACCCACTCTCACCCGATGTGTCTGGCTGCTTGAACACTTTCCTTTCTAGCCTCAATTGCCCCTCATCTCTCTATGCACTCACTTCCTGGCTGCAAGGTAAGCTTGGATAGTTTTCATTTGATTTTCCCTTTTGATTTTATTGTTATTGTTGGGGGGGGAAATGTGGCAACTCTACTGGCTAAGATCTCGGAAATAGAAAGATAATCCTTTTTGACAAAAAAGATTAGGCTTCTAGGGGCTCGAGATTTAGCTCAGCGGCATAAGCACCTGCCTTGCAAGCAGGCGGTCATGAGGTCGATCCCCGGTACCGATAAAAATGAAAAAGACAAAAAAAAAAAAAAGATCAGGCTTCTACTCACATAAAACATGGAGCTGAATCACAGTAGTTTTAATCAGTTGCTGGCCCTGCACCTCCAAAGCAGCCTCACAGGAGAAATTTCGGCTATCATCCTCCTCCTTGGCAGTAAATAGAAGCCAGGCAGCTTCCCCAAGGGCAGGGAGATGTGGGAATCCTTGAAGCCTAAGAGTAGGCCTGGGTGATGTTAATATATGCCCTGAGCAGGTTACATTAACATCTGTCCCTGCCGCGGGCTATGGTTCTTCTATCTCTAGGACTGGTGGAGGGAAACCTATAAAAAAAAAAAAAAGTGGGGGTAGGGGAGGGACCAAACACAGTTTTCAAAACTGATAGCAACTTCTGTACTCTTGCTCTTGGTCTTCTCCCTTGGTAGGCAGACAAAAAAGAGACGAGACTCTGGATACCATTACTGCTTCTGTAAAGCCTTAATAGAAGGGACAAAAAGTAGTTTGGAAATTTGAGAGCTTCTATTTCAACAAATAGAGCATGTATACATTCGCTATGCTTCTGCTACAAGGAAAGCAAGATGTCTTTCCATATTGCAGGTCTCCTCTTTGCCTCTAATAATTGTTCTAGAATGAAATTCAAGCATCCATAATCACTCTTCAAGCATCATGGCTTTAAGAAACAGGGTGACGAGTAGAAAGAACCACTGCCATAATACAACCTGCCTGCATTTATCAGAAAAAGAAGAAAACCATGCCTTTTCCAAAGGTCACCAACCCATTACTGTGTCAGTTTTCAGTGGCAGAGAACCCACCGGGGAAGAGAAAAGGCAGTCACTTACTATAGACAAGCACTGGCTGCCTTGTTTCCTGTTCCACTGGACCCAGAGATACAAAAACACGACAGCTCCTGGACACCAGTCTCCATGGTCCGAACAGTGGCATTGGCCCACACTGTCCCTCCCTTCCAGGAGAGGAAGAGGCTCAGCGCCTGGCCTCCCAGAAGCATACAGAATACAACATCTTTGGCTGGGAACACCCTAGCCACCTCGCAGCTCACAGGTTCTGCCGTCCCAACTTCCAGAACTGAAGAGACCCAGATGAGGAATTCTGCCAAGAAATTAGGAAAATGAAAATAAAAAGAAAGAAAAAAGCCACGATCAATCATGTGACATGTGGGGAGGGAGAGGTGGGAAATGATTTTTCTCTCCCAAGATGAGCTAAAAGTACAGCTGGTGCTCCATTAGCCTCGCAACCCCAGCCTGTGGGAACTTAGACCCAAAGGCCATGGCAAAATGAACAAAATGAGCCCCAAGGTGCCTTCCGTGCCTGGACTCTTGACTCACCAAAGATCCAGAGTACCTTGATGGCTGAGCTGCCGTGAAAGAGCCCCCAACCTTGTGCATTCAAATCCAGTTCTGCACTACAGGAGAAATTGCACCTGTCATTCTCCCTCTGGGCTGTGACACTGATGGTGAGTGACCTCAGCTCTCTGAGGGGCCAAAGCCAAGCTCACAAAGTTCTTTCTGTACAGTTCTTGGTTACCCTGGAAAAGGGTAAGGGTGAGGTGCTTCAGGGGTGCCACATGGGGCACAAGGCACTTCACCATAAAGGCTTCATCCATGGCTACCCAGTCAGGCTGCAGCTCCAGGATCACCTGCTCTGGCGGCTCTTGAAGACATAAAGGCAGGGCTTGATGACAGAGGGCTACCACCTCTCCAGAAAGGTCACTGCTACTGATAAACTATCTTCCTGCCAGCCTTTGGCTCCTCTGCCCATCAAAGGTGGTGACAGCAGCCAAGAAATGTGATAGTAGAGGGAGGTCCTTTGCTTTGACTGTTGCTGCCGTTCAAGAGAATTTTATTTCCTACCAGAGGTGCTTCAGAGGCACCACCAGCTCAGCATTACACAAAAACTCCCTCCAGACCCCACTGACTCTTTTTTATCTTTTAATTTTATTTATTTATTTATTTTGGTACTGGGGATCAAACTCCTGATATTGCACTTGCCAGGCAGGCACTTATGCCGCTGAGCTAAATCCCTGGCCCTGCACTCACTCTTAAAAGCTGTAATTTTGCCAATGCTGGTTTCTACCTGAAAGATCCTCCTCGCCTGCCCCAACAAAAGCTTATCCATCCTGCACAAAGGCAGCTTGGGAGCCTTCTTTTCCACACTTCACTAACTATCCCAGTTTCAAAATACTCTCCTTTCATTCTAAGACCTCAGAGCAAATAAATCAGTGCTGCTTTTACACTTTTTTGGTGATTTGGAAGTTAGCATTATTAGCAGCTACTTCCTGTATGTGAGAATATTCTCAAGCAAAGATGTCTGGATACCCTCTATAGCCTACTAACAACACAAAACCCAGAAGAAGAACAGAAGTAACTAGCTCTAGAATTCTTGGAAGTATGACAAAAATCATTATTAAGAGTCCAAATCCTCTCCACTAAGAGAAATGCTAATTCTTCCCTGAGTAAATACAGCCATCTCCAGTTTCCCCACTCCTGCCAGTCTACTCACCATACACAGTGATGTTGAGGGCGGTATCCTTTTGGATCCCTGCACAAGAAAAGAAGCACCGCAGGACAGAGTTCACTGTGACATCCTCCAGGAGGAACTCTTTCCACTGGTGGCCTTTGTCTACCTCGGTTCTCTTTAAGTTGGTCTGGATGCCACTGGGCCCTGGGTCTGGGCAGGTGGTGCTGCAGTTGACCACCAAGGACTGTCCAAAGCCCACGAAGGCCTGACTGGGCCAAACAGAAACCTCAAATAGCTCCCCTCTGGCCCTTGAAATGAATGCAGATGCCAAAGACTCTGGTGAGGATCACTAGACTCAGACAAAATAAAAAGTCTGCTCTCCATAATTCTAGGTTAGAGAGCAGGGAAACTGCCCTGAATAAAAAAGTTCAGGGGACTGGACAAGTAAAGAACTTTAAATAACAAGTGAGAGCCTCAATTCCACCACTATTCCTTTTATCCATCTTCTCCCTTCAGATCTAGATTTCACCATGGAATCGATGGAGTTGTTAAGATCATGCCCAAGGAACCACTTTCTTCATAGGCTTTCAGGATTCTTGAAAACTCCCCAGGTTTGGGGATACTCATAGGGTTAGCAGACCCTTGAGCAAAAAAAGCCGTTTTATTATTAATTTTTGCAGCACTGGGGATTGAACTCATGACCTCACAGTTACTTGGCAGATGCTTATGTCACTGAGCTAAGTGTTTCCTCTCAAACTAGAGCTAAGGACTGCTTTCATGAGAATCACCTAGAATGCTTGTAGACCTGCAGATTCCAACTCCCTCAGATTGAATGGTTACAAATTTGTAAAGAAGGGACGTGGAAACATGCCAGAGAACAAAACAAGCCTCCTGGGGAACTTTCCACAACCTTAATTGTGAACCCGTAACCACTGGCCACGATTACTCATTTCTCATGGGATTTTCCACTTCTTCTGTTTTGCTTCAGTGCAAAGGCAACCAATAGTTTAGTCTTACATGTTACCCAGACGTTCATTCGCTAAAAAGGCTTGGTCCCTAACCTGTGGCTATACTGAGAAGGGTAGAACCTTCAGGAGGTAGGGCTTAGGGGAAGGAACCTAGCTCACTGGGAGCAGGCCACAGGGGACACTGGGACTCTAGTCCCACTCTTTTCGCTTTCTCGTTGCCACAAAGTAAGCAGATTTGCTCCCTCACAACTCCCGTATGATGTTCTGCCTCACCACAAGCCCCCAAGACAATGTGGTCTAGCAACCATGGACTGAAGCATCTGAAACCATGGGCCGAAACTCTATCCTCCTTTTATGCTGATTTTCCTGGGTATTACGTTCCAGTGACCAAACACGAACCCAAGTGTATTAGAGAAATCTCATGTTCTCTTGTGGGAGTGTGGGATAGCCTTCAGACACCTGCTGTAGGTGAATGTCACAGTCTGCTGCAGTCTTCCCTACAGGTCCCCTCTAGCCAGCCCATACTATCCACCCCCTGCATCTACCAAATATAAGTTCCCTCTGGGAATATACCATGCTTGTAGCAATGTTACTGGCTAAGGCTTCAGAGCGCCTTTCTCACCACTGGAAATTCGTTCCTTGCTCTTGAGCTATGGGCCCTGTTCTATTACTCATTGTGGCTCATCACGTCACAAATGATGAGAAGAAAAAGACAAGACAGTTTGGGGACACCAGAGAGCCAAGTAGAGAAAGCCTATTTTCTAGGGAGAGTTGTCTCTGATGATTTACTAATTTGAGTTATCCCAATTATAAAACAAAGACACCTAAAGGTTCTGTGTCCTAGTGATCCAGTAAACAGAAATGTCTCCCAAGGACCCGGATGAACTAATACTGAAGTGTCACCATACTCAGGAGTTCCCATTCCTCTCCTCCCTGACCTGCCACCTGTGTTCCAGCAGACACTGAAGAAACTTTCCCAGACAGCCTCACCTGGGCAAGGAATCAAGGCCAGCTGAGTACAGACACCAAACAGGAGCACTGCCATCCTTCAGAGAAAGGCCAAAAGCTGGGGGAAAAGAAAAGCAACGATCGTGCTGGAGAAAGGGGGGGGGGGTGTAGAAAATTCTGTCTTTGCATTGTTAGGTCAGCCCCTTTCCTAGCACCATATCAGTCTGGAGAAACTGCAGAAAGAACATCAGCAGGATGGGTGAACTAAAAATACCTCTTGTATCTATTCATTTAAGTTTGGCCTATATATACAGGAAAAAGACACACCAAATATGAAAAACAATGAAGGGATATTTGAGTAGTGAGATTCATAAATGAGACTATGTTATACTCATCCCTTTATCAAATAACTTCCATCTATCAGACTGAACCGACAGAAGAGTGTCAGCATAGAAACATGAAAAATGGCATTTAGAGAAAATTTGGCAGAGTTAATCTGACCCTGTCCAATGGAAAATTACCTGAATCTAGAGAACTTGGTCATAAAGTCCTGTTTTCTGACGTAAGGGAGAAATGTTTAACCAGGCCTGTCTCTTTAGGACCTTTGAAAATATCCCTCAGAATAATTAATTCATTTCTTTCTAATCTGCCTCCATAGTCAGCAAGGGAACCTTGAATTACCACTTTAGTTGAAAGTAGTTAAAAGTGTCTTCTCTGTTCACCACCAATCTACTCCTTGCTTCCTTTCAAAATTCCATTAAAACTGAGAATAACAACGCACACTTATAATCCCAGCACTCTGGGAGGCTGAGGCAAGAGGGTTGCAAGTTCAAGTCCAGCCTAGATAATCTAGCAATATCTTGTCTCAAAATTAATTTTTAAAAAGGTCTAGAAACGTAGTTCAGTGCAAAGGCCTTGGATTCAATCCCCACTGTTGAAACAAAAAGAGGGGAGGGGGAACGTTCAAGGTAATTTCCTCTAAGAAAATTTGCTTTTTTCTTGCAATGCTGCTATATATAAAACTTTACTAATTTTGTATGTGAATTTTCAAACACTGGGTTTTGTATAGGTCTATCCTACTTCTATGCTAGTCTGAAAAGTTTTTTTATACATGCCTAATATAATAGGTTTATCAAGATTTATACTTTTAAGTGAATGTTACCTTTCAAAATAAGCACTTTAGGTATATTTGAGCTTATTCCAGAGACGACTATCATTCACAACTTCTTTTGAAAGTTATTTAAAACTGGTTTTAAGCTATGTGAGAAAGAAAACTGTCTTTATTAAATTAATTTTCTTTCTTTTGTATGGGGTGGAGTACTGGGGAATGAACCCAGGGCCTCACACATGTTAAGCAAGTGTTCTATCACTGAAGTACATCCCCCTCAAAAAAATTGTTTTAAATGTTTGAGACAGGGTTGCACTAGACTGCCCAGGCTGAACTTGAAATTTTCATGAATCAGTCTCCCAACTAGATGGAATTACAACTATTCGCCACCATATCTAACTAAATTATCCTGTTATTTTGAACAAAAATGGTATTATTCAGTCATCTTGTCAAACTCAGCTCTGAATTACCTCTCTTTCCTAGGAAGATCTGTTATCATTGAAAATATTTAAATAAAGCACCCAAACTCCAAAGGAAATTTCAAAACATCAGTATTAAGTAACAACTCTTGGAAAAAGTACAAGAGGCCCAAGTGGGACTGCTTATATTCATGTATTGTTTCTGAAAAAAATTTTTTTGCAAACAATTATTGAGCAGCTACAACATGCCAAGCTTTTCAAAAGGTTTTTAAAGGGCAGAGGATGTAGCTTAGTGTGAAGGTCCTGGTTCAATCTTCAAAACTGGGCTGGTGAGGAAATGAGGTAAAACCCTGAGGCTAACCTAGGCATTCTTTTTCTTTTAGTTTTCTGAGACAAGGTCTCACTATGGATTTCAGGCTGGCCTCAAACTTACTGTGTAGCCCAGTGATCCTCCTGCCTCAGCCTCCCAAGTTTTGAGATTACAGATGTACGCCATCTTACAAGATGCAAACCTTACAAGATGCAAACCATTCTGTATGCAGACCAACACTTAAGTCTTTCACTGCTGCTGTACTTTCCATGAATCCAGACTATTTATACTCTGATGGGCCACATCGGCACAAACAACTCCCCAGAAGTTAACATGAGACCTCCTATTAATCTTTGTTTGCTAATATTACTTTCAACACAGTTGACCTTGGGGTGAATTTCTGTCTATATTGTCTGTCTTTTGCCCTCAGTCTTAGCTGAAAAAAATTTCCCATCTCTCATCACTATAAACCAAGATGGCTGATTTTCCTTGTTGTTGCTATGAATACATACCTATGCCCATAACAGGTATAAGAAAGACCTTAAGGGTAGCAGGGGGTGGGGGTGGGGGTGGGTGGACGTTCTTTTCTTTTTTTTTTTTTTTTTTTTTGTCTCTTTCTTTTTTTTCTCGGTACCAGGGATCAAACTCACGACTGCCTGCTTCCAAGGCAGGTGCTTATGCCGCTGAGCTAAATCCCCAGCCCCTCTTTTCTTCTTTTTATACAGGGTTTCACTAAGCAGTTCAGGCTGGCTGTGAACTGATTTTGTTCCAGGATGGCCTTGACTTGGAATTACAAGTGCTGGAATGCCAGGTGTGCACTGCCATGCCCAGCTATTCTTTTTACTTTCATACTATATCCTGACAACCTTCCCATATCTACCCACTATCTCCACAGCTCTGACCTTTCATCCTCACAGAGACAAGTTATGATCAGATTCTGAACCCTAAGATTTTACATTTGGTTAAGCAGAAGTGAAGTAGCATTCTAAGGGGAAACTATTAAAATTCCTTTGGCTTATGCTGTAGACTATATCCTAAAGTTGAAGGATTGCAGTGGAAGTCTAGCTCCTCCACTTGAGTTCCGAGAGGGTTGGCTGCATTAGGGCAGGTGACCAGAAAGAGACAAACCCTGATTCTTGGGTCACCTGCACCAGACTTCATATACAAGTTTGGTATTCTCACCTTCTACATATGTATGTAAGTCACAACCTTCTCTTCACATTGTCTCTTCTCTCTGCCTGGGATTTGCTCCCCCAACGCTATCCAACCAATTCTCTGGGCAGTGAGACCTACCCTGACCAGCCTTTGTTCAACCATGATCGCCCACACCTTCTATCTATGATACCGCTTTCTTTTCCCATCGCCCTGTAACATACTCATACTTGGTTGTTAGGGCTGTAATTGGTATCCCTCTTCCGGTGTAAGACTGTACCAGCCACCAGTGCTGAGATCTTTGTGATAGATCCCAAACGCTTAAAGTGGTCATAGGTGTTCAGCGACTACAGTTGAAGGAAACTGATAAAATATGTTCAAATATTTGTGTAAGGAATTCCACCCACCACTTGGATGCAGGATCTAAAGCCAGTTCTTGCCGGGGAAACTGCTTCTGTCTAGCTGGGAGAGGGAAGTATACACTCGTGGTCATGAGAGCTTTTACAGGAGGTCAGTAGTTAAAACATAAATACTGACAGCTGGGCACGGTGGCTCACACTTGTAATCCCTGCACGTGGGAGGATGAGGCAGGTGGATCCGCGAGTGCAAGGCCAGCCTGGGCTACATAGGAAGATACCATCTCTAAAAAAGAAAATGAAGACAAGAAAAAAAGAAAAACTCTTCAGCGAGTGCGTCAACTACAGTGTGAGCTGCTGGAGCCAGCCTTGAGCTAGGCCTCCACGGATTTCATGAGAAAGCCAGGGCATTAGCACTGGAGTTGCTGAGGCAGGACGATCGATACGAGTTCGAAGCCAACTTGGGCTACAAAGTGAATTCATGGCCAGTCTGAATTGCATGCAACTCTGTCTCAAAAAGGCCAAAAAGAAGAAAAAAAAGGAAGAAAGAAAGAAGAAAAGGAGAGAAAGCCAGGGCAGAAATCGCCATGAGCCCAAGCAAATTAAACACACCCTAAATTCTTACTGATCGAGGGCTGTCTCTTTGTCTCTCGTCCTCGCCCACCCACTCCTCGCTTCTCTAGACACCACCCGAGGTGATTAGCCCCGCGGCTTTCCAGCGGTTCTCGAGGCAGGCACGCGCTCAAACCGTTTCGTCGCCACAGCCAGAGGGGGGCGCTTCAACTAGGCGACGCCTCCTGATCTTCCTAGAAACTCATGACGTATTTACAATACCTCAGTACGATTGGCTGAGATTAGCGGGACAGGCAGAAAGGTAAAATAACAGAGGGGGTAAGCGGGGAAGATAAAGGAGAGCTTGTGTTTTATGCGGCAGGAAGCATATATTTGACTCATGGTAATCATTACTGACTGAAACAAAGTGAAAATAAGATGTGTTTTTGGAGAGAATAATGGCTCTAGAAGAAAACAAAAGGTTGTCCTTCCCTACATATTTTCGCCTCGTGGTTCTGTCTGAACACGTGAGACGCGGAGCTGCAGAGCTTTGCGCACGCAGCTGCGTTAGGAACGTCGCTGGTGCTGTGAGGCTTGAGTTTTCTTACTCTGTCAAATTCTTCCTGGGCCCTGACGTGTTGATGCAGACCCATAATCTCAGTTCTTTAGGAGGCTGAGACAGGAGGACTGCAGATTTGAGCTCAAGCTGGGCAATGCATCAACTTACTGGAGATCTTTAAATAAAAAGAGCTGAGGATGTAAACACAGTGTGAAGCCCTGGGCAGTACCACACAGCAACAGCAACCACCACCACAAAAGAAGCCGGACCACAAGCCGCTCCTTCACCTGGGATAGAAAATTGGTTTGGCCGGGCTCTAGCAACATTTGGAAGAATCCTTTTGATGTGTCCCCACACACACCTTTTTTCTGTCTCCCCCCCCCCTCCCCGCCGCAAAGGTTTGGTGACCAGCTTTCTCTCCCTCATCCTGCGCGTCTACTCACCCTCACCTTGCCCAGAAGTTAACAGTGAGACCTTAAAAATGAGGGTGAAAAAAGAGGTCAGCTTCTTGGATCTCTCCACCTGGGAGCCTTTGCCAATTTCCATGTCAAAGGTCTCGCCTGCTAAAGTCTCTAGGTCTCATTCGAGGGTATTTTTCCCAAAACATTTGCCTTGAGCCCAAACTGGGCCTTTCCCATCCGGCATCTGTGGTGTCACTTTGTGTCTTTGGCTCTTCCTCAGTCCTTGTCTTGAGCCTGAGGCATGGACCGAGTGCCCCGGTGTAGTGATATGTGAAGATTTGGGATCCCCCCCCCGCTCCGGCAGACAGTTATGCTTATCTACTATCTCATTTACTGTAACTACCCTAGGGTAAGCACAACTGCTATGTCACTTTATGGATAAAAGGACAGACCTGAAGAGGAGTCACTATTCTGTATATGGAGGTGGTAGGCAGACTTAATGGTATCCTGTATAAGTTCTAAGAACTGCATTTCTTGTCCTGCAATGATCTTTTATCCACCTCTAGACTATGAATGATGCTTTCCCCCTTCAATGGGAGTCTCATTATGTTAGCTAAGTTAGCTCCAAACTCCTGGTCTCAAGAGAACCTCCTGCCTCAGCTTCCTGAGGCGCTGGGACTTCAGGTACTTGTCAGCATGACCGTCCTGAGTGATTATCCTTAGGCTGTATTGGTTGGCTGGCTTTCTTGTATGGTAGTTTTATCATTGCTTTGATTCTGTTTATTTTGACAATTTGAGGAGAAAAGTTAGGGTAAAGAGCCAGCAGTGCTCTGGCCAGCCTCAATCTAGCCCATCTCTTCTCAGCTGTGTATGTAATGACAGCTGTGTATGTAGTGACATTGGTCACTTGAAAACAGCCACCATGGGAAGTATGTATATCACTGAAATTGTCAAAGGTTACAAATGAGGGTTTATTTTGTTCTGAGAACTGTTAAGCATTTACCAGAACACCACTGTATATATCTATTTATTCATTGCTTTCTTCCTATAATATGTGGGTTTTTTAGTTTTTGTGTCTTCAGCATCTTGAGCAGTGCCTGCAGAGCACGCACTCAAACATTTAGGAATTGAATGACCAGAGTCTGTGACCTAACACCTTGGTTTTCTTTGTGGAAGGGCAATTCATGACACCTTTGGAAGAGCTTAGCTTTGTGACAGCAACCTCCATGGACTCTTTTGTTTTAATTCTGCTACTCTACCCCTTATCCAAAGGGGAAGTAAAAATGAGAATTTGAGTCTGTCCAGAGACCACCACCTCTTCTGGCCAGTAAGGCCGCCCATCACCTGACCATCACCTGCCCTTGTGTCTTCTGTCAGAAGAGATCAGAGCAAGAATGCCAGCCTCAAACTGCTCCAAAGAGCAAAGTGGGGAAAAACCTTGTTACCAATTCTCCCAAAAAAAAGGTGATTTTTCTCTTAACTCTTCAGAGACTGTTTTTGACAGATTTTGGAGACTTCTGGGAATTTTTAATTTGCAAGCTTTTATTGTATCTTCATGGCAATGTTTTAAGAATTATTCATATATGTCATATGTATTGTTTACAATTTAAATGTGGGCAGTTGATTGTCCATTATATCTCAATACAGCTAGGGTTTTTTTTTTTTTGCTTTTTGGGTTTTTTGTTTGTTTGTTTGGTTGGTTGGTTTGGTTTGGTTGGCTTTTTGAGACCAAGTAGGTCTTACTGTGTAGATCAGGATGGCCTCAAATTCACTGCAATCCACCTGCCTCATACAGATGGGGTTTTTGTTGGTTTGTTTGTTTAAAGTCTTTATGTAAGTATTTAATATTCAGGAAACTTTTTTCAGTATCAATCAAAAAATTTCAGGGGCTGGGGATTTAGCTCAGTGGCATAAGCGCCTGCCTTGCAAGCAGGCAGTCATGAGTTCGATCCCTGGTACCGATAAAAAGGAAAAAAACGAAAAAAAATTTCATGTGTGAAAGGTTTACAATTTTTAGAAATTTCGTTTGCTTATCACCTTATATGTTACTCCTAGCAAAATGTATTTGTGTTATGGTTGCTCCTACTTTTTCTTAGTAGATTTTTTACTTTACCTCACTTTTAGTATGTTTATTTCTTATTTTGTTTAGTTTGGATCTCCACCAAC